ACTTAACTCTGGTGCCGTGTCACATATAGAAATTTTTTGATATTTGCAACCATAGTAAAACAAAGACTTATATTTTTGATATTTATTTTATATATTTAAATGCCATTTAACAAAGAAAAATCAACCAAAAAACTTCGCGTGTCACCTCTGACACGCGTGTCATAGGTTCGCCATCACTGCCCTACGCTATAGAGTTGTGCTGAGTAAAGTAACAGAGGAAGTGCCTACATGAATGTAAGTTAGAGTCCAAACTCTTCTGCTTGGTGTTCATAGCCACCTGTTTGTTTACTGGGTAGCTTTATCTGCAACTGCCTGCCCCGACTGGTAGACGCCTCCTTATTATCTCTTGACCATGATCATTTCTGTGAACTCTGTCTTTAATCTTGCTTTTATCTCTAGCGATATGCACTTTGGTATTCACCTGAATTCTTCTTGTTCAGGGCTTACTACAACTTTCAACTTTTCATGGAGTCCTCTCTATAAGTCCAGTCCCACCAATCCTTGCTTCTTAATTTCTCTGCCCTTCAGTCTTCTGTTCCAGCATGTGGGTGGGTGTCTTGGTAATCAAAGGAGATTTTAAACTTTTTGTTTTATGCCTGCTACAGATTCCTTTCATATCTAGTTCAGTGTTAGTTGGATATATAGTTGACATTTAGCTTATCTTTATTAAAATTATAATTATTAAACATGTTTTTTTTCTCTCATTTATAGAATGTATAGTACACTCCTGGCTCATAAAAAACTACATATAAGAAATTTTGCGGCTGAAAGCTTTACTTTTTTGATGAGAAAGGTTAGTCTGATATTTTATGTTTATTGCTCATTAATTCTCAAGAACCTGAAGAACAAAAGCCTGATATCTTTTATAATGTAGTTATTATGGAATAATTATATATGTGCATGTTTATATATGTGTGTATATATTTGTCTATCTATGTATACATATACACACACACAGACACATCACATAAGTATTTTGAGTTTATATCACCATATGTTTAGTCTTCTCACTAATGTGAAATAATTTGGGTCATTCTTTTGTTGTTATTTAGATTTTGGTAGTTTTCACTCTCCGTCTGTGTGTGTGTGTATGTATGTGTGTTTAAAAGTGCCACTTAATTCAAGCAAGTAAATACATGAACAGTGAAATTAACAGGAATTTTTATAATGACTTCTTGGAAGAAACTGATTGCATAGTGTCAGTTGTATTGGTTTCCATAGAACATTTTAGAGGGTTTTGTAATAAAACAAAAACATTGATATTAAATGTCTCTTGTACTCATAAAATATATGATTTTTCTATAAAAGACAGAATGTCCCTTATGTAGTTTTTCTTGGTACATCCCTTATACTAATGAATTACTCTTGTGTGATGTTATAAGTGTTAGTAAAATATTATAATAGTCTGAGATGATTACAAGTGTCTTTTCCTAGAATTTTGAATTACTCTTGTGTGATGTTATAAGTGTTAGTATACTATTATAATAGTTTGAGATGATTACAGTGTCTTTTCCTAGAATTTTGTCCTAATTATATTTAAATATAAATATGTAGAATAATGAGTAAAATTTCTTCAGCTCGTAACTCAAATTACTTGTATGTCAAATCTCGTATCTCAACTAGTGGTGGGGTATCTGAAACTGGCTCATAACCCGAACTTTAGCTTGCAACTCAAAGCAAAAAATTGGCCGAGAGACGGCTCGTATCTCGAAAAACTCGTTAGTCGGGACACTTGTAAGTCAAGGCCCCACTGTATATTTAAATATAAATATGTAGAAGAATGAGTAAAATTTCTTTATTTGGATGTTTGTGTTTTAAATACAATTTTCCATTTACATTTTGTGTTTTAGGTTTCTGATAAAAACTCACTTTTCAATTTAATGTTTCTTGATCTTGATGAACATCCGGAAAAGGTAGAAGGAGTTGGGCAGTTGCTCTTTGAAATGTGCAAAGGAGTGAGAAATATGTTTCACTCCTGTACAGGAAAGGTAAATAGCTGGGGGAAAACTTTCAGTCTCTGTGAAAGGGGTTGAAAAGAAACAGAAAAGATTTACCGAAATGATGGACAGAAGACTGTGAGAATAAATAGCAGTAAATGGGGAGCATTAAGGCTTTGATAGCAGTGTTTACCTAATGTAAGCTCTGGATCAGTAGGTATTTTTACTTACAAGATCATTGCTCTCTTCTTCATCCTGAATCCTAGTAACATCAATTGATTAATGAGCAAAAGTAGGTGGGTGGGGGCAGCTGGATGATGAAATTCCCATCCTAGTTAGAAAATTCCTCTTAAGACAGTTAACCCTCAAATATCCTTGATTATTCCTAGATTCAATTTTAAGGTGACTAATATAATCAGAGTGGGAAATCATAGTGTAATATTTAAAAATGAACGTTTACATGTTAATTTTAATGACTCTTGAATTCCCACAGGCAGTGAAGCTAATTTTGCAAAAGCTAGGACCAGTTACTGAAACAGAAACTCAACTGCCATGGATTTTAGTTGGAGAAGCACTAAAAAACATGGCCAAATCCACCGCTTTCTACATCTACAAGGAACATTTTGGTGTATTTTTTGAATGTTTGCAAGTGAGTTCTAATTTTTCAGGATTTGTATGTAATAAGGAGTCCAAGAGTTGATTGTTCTTGCTCATTTAGCAGACCACTCCTGGTGACTGTTGCTTATAGTTGCCCTTATACTTTTATACACTTACTAGAGGCCTGGTGCATGAAAATTCATGCACTGATGGGGATGGTCCCTCACAGTCCAGGAGCCCTCAGGGGCGGCAGATGACCCCGTGATCAGGGTAATGCACCCCCCATCACACCTCTGCTGCTGCCACTGCCGACAGCGCAAGCCTCGGCCAGCCCTGGTTACCTGAGCCTCGGGCAGCCGCCATCCAAGGCTTGTCTGCGCCTCGAGCCAGCCCTGGGTCCAGCACACCGCGCACCTGCCACCCCTCCCCCCAACTCTGGCGGGGCTGAAAGGCCTGGGGGACTCCGGCGGGGCTGAGGGGACTGGGTGCAGCCATCTTTGTGACATC